CACTTTGTATTAGAAGCGGTTGAATGCAATTAGCATGGCTTATCTGTGTATTAAATAACTAATGTTATAAAAACTATTAAAAGTATCGTATAACCATTGTTCTGGTTTTGGGTGGTTACCACTTATCAATTCGTATTTCAGGAACACAATTGTGTCAAAAAGTGCAACAACCAAACAAAAAAAAAAATGAGCTATTTATGGAAGAAATATCTACATTTTGGTTGAAAAATCATATTATTATTTTTCCAAAGATATTTCAAAATGAATTATTTAGTGGTAAATGAGAAAAAGTATATTGTTTTGATTGTCCTGAAAAATTCATGAAAATTTAGTAATCTGATTGTTGCATTCCTTCAATTACTATTATACGCTTAAAATGTTAATTATTTACGTATATTTTTAATGTCATATTCAGTGATTATAGCTTACTATTTTACTGCAATTTCATTTAGTTTATTTTGTATTTTCGATGTAGTTTTTGGAAATAATAAGTTAACTACTGCGTTGCAGTATACAGATTACAAATTTAAGGAGCTCGTCGTAACTGTGGTTATCGTAAGTAATCGTAGTAAATACCTGTGACTATTTTTTATGTCGAATTATGATTTATGATATAGAACTATAACAAAACGTATCATGGAAGAATTCAAAAACCTTGAATAATCAAAGTTATTACTATCTACATTAAGACTCTACATATAATGGGTATGCTACGCCACCATTTTGCGACTTATTGGTCAATGATAAAATTATAAAAGAAAGTGGGAAATTCATATTCACTTAATATGATCGCAAAATGGCGACGTAGCATACCTAGTATATGGATATATAGTATATAGTGCCCTACCTATACATCTAAGCACATTCAAACCATTTTAAGTTCTGATTTAGGCAATGACCAGTGGCCAACGCAGAAGGGGGGCTAAAGGGGTTGAAGCCCCCACATTGCTCGTATTATTATTACTTTAAAAAAAAAATATTTATCAAGTTTCAATTGTCAACTATAGTAAGCAAGACGTAAATTTCATATACGTCTTACCAGAATGAATTCATTTTTGAAAAACACATTGTACTTGCATACCAATTTTTCTAAAATTATTTGTAATATTTTGGCAAAAGAATTAACTACTTGTACGAAAGACCTTGTATTAAATTATCTAGCCTTAGCTATATGTATACATTTAATATTTTTCATAAGTTTTGAACTACAAATTAATTAAGTAACTGCAGTTTTGATGAAATTTGTAGTTTAAATGCTTATACAAACTAAGTATCATGCCTATGTATCGTTACCTAATATTTTAGCTATAATTAAAACTTACGTATTACTTTTTTAAGCGTTTTGACTGGATAACTCATTTTTTATTGACATTTATAGAGAAATAAAATTTTAATTAATCGAGTGCAATCCAAGTAAGGACGGTATAATCAAGCTGGTTACTAAACAATTTTTGTTACTTGAACAACTCCTCTTTGATGGTAATAATTGTTTTTATTTTGTGTAAAACAGTTATTATGGAAAATAGTCTAAGTCCAATTAATTATGTTTATGACTTAAGCGAGATGTGACTATAGTGAGTAATTTAGTGACTGTTCGAGTTGAAGCTGGTTGTTCTTCTGATGAACGCTTGTCCATCAGCTCTCCTCGATGGGTCTCTCCAGTCCCTTCCACAGATTCACATGACCATATATGGTCATCCTGCGGTTAGGCCTATTGTGGGATTTGTCACCCGGTCATCGTTGCACCTGCCGGATGTTATCGGATAACATCTTGTCATTTAATATAACAGCACAAATCCTAATTCACAGTATTTTAGAATTATTTATATACGTAGTCATATATCTATTGCCGCGCGCCGTTCATGGTCATGCGTTCGATATTATTAGCTTCGCGCTGTATATATGATGTCGTCACTCCACTACACATGTACTGTATACATGGTACCAGCGATATTATTATTATTATTAACGTTTACGCGAGCAACGCTCGCGTATTACAATCATATTATATTATAGCGCGTCTATTATATGATTACGTACATAATATTAGAATATATTGTTATTTAAGAAATAGTCACAGCTCGCTACAGTGACTTAAAATGTTATAACCAGTGGCGTAGCCAGGAATTTTGTATGGTGGGTGGGGGGGGGGGTTGGCTAAAAGTATACAAAATATTATACAATATGTCTTTTATTTACACTTTTTATTTTTTTTATTAATCTTGATAAAATTGTAAGGTCGATACAGTCAATGGGGAGGTGGAGCTATAGCCCCCCTGGCTATGCCACTGGTTATAACCAAAGGTAATAAAATAAAAACACGGATTTATTATACAGATATCTATATATCTATATCTATATCAGATGTCTATGAGACAGCGAACTTCCGCCATGAATTGAAGCAATAAGGTCGGAGGGCAAATTGCATGGTATTTCATATGACAAATAAGATTAATTATGATATATTTTGTATTATATTTTATTATTTCTAACCCTGTAATTTAAAAAAAAATGTTTAATATAAGTCATTTTACATTTACTATTTTATTTTACCCTTAAAAACGATGTTATTCCTAATACATCTTGTATAATGAATGAAATGTTTTGCCCACTGAGAAAATGGTGGCCGTCCACAGCTGAGATGAGCTTGATAATAATATTGGAAAACCTTATCTAGATCTGTATATCTGTGGATTTATTATAAACTGTTATTCTTCTATGACAGTAGGTTGGTAATAAAATTGTATTAAGTAAACATGTTTCTTTTTATTCTGTTAGCCACACTGCTTGATTTTGTACCACGATTAAAGATATACCTGCAACCTGTATATCTTTAATCGTGTTTTGTACCAAGATAAGAGACATACATGTTTTATCTAAGGTCTTGTAATAAGTTTATAATAATATTATGCCTTCTCATTTATTGTTTTATGCTGGCATGCTGCAGATCATACAATTTTGATTGTTGGCACTTGCCACTGGCCTTGTCAAATACATTTTTTAACTGTTTCATATTACAATTATATATTATTAAATAATACCTATAATTATCGTACTGAATCGAAGAGTATTGAGGTAATTTATTATGTTTGCATATATAATTTATTTTAATAAAACAAAATTAAAAAATAATTATAAGTAGGTACCTACCTAATTATCACGATAAAAATTAATTTCAAAATGTAGTAGAGTGACTACGGCTATGACACGGTTATACAGAGTGTATTAGGAAGACATATCAGATGAAATAACGTTTAAACATTTTTTTTTCATATTATATAATGTATAGTCCCTTTTGCTGCACGTATAATAAAAAAAATTATTTATATTTTTTTAAATTTGATTTAAATTTTTTTGGATAAATTCAAAACAGCCATTTTGTGAATCTGATTTAAGAACAATTTTGATAGTAAAAACATTTATCTAAGTCAAGTAATTAATTTTTTTTAAATATCAATATTATTTTTGATTAAATTTATTTGGAACGTAATTAATTTTTCTAAAATAATATTTTTGGGAATTTACTGACATGAGTATGTTTCTTAAATTACTAATCATATCATTTTCACAATTTTTGTCATACGTTTAAGTAGCATCTTTTCTTCAGGTATTCCTGTTACACCCTGTATATCAATATAATATAACATAGCAGGATCACTTTAGACCACTTGTTTGCAGACATATTCCTAAAATATGAATATATTTTGCATAATTTCTACATTTTACACCATTAAGTAATAACTAATAGGTAATAATAAATTTCTAAAATATGATCGCATTTTACAATCATTTGAAAAGGAAAAAAAAAGAATATCGAAATGTATTTTATCAAGAGGAAGAAAATGATATTATATTCCTCCATGGTCAATACTGAGTAGTCATTTACGCTGTGTCTCTGGATCATTGGCCATTGCACGATTTACGGACGTTCGTGTTTTTAATGTGCGGACAGATTTGATAAGAATTCTAGTAAAAACTTAACATATAGATATCAATCATAATATAATTTATTTTTATTTTTCGTATGAACATTTACAGACTAAAATGTTTTATTGATTTACTGTAGTCTGAAAGTAAACCAAACGTAAAATAATTATCAAATTCAATGAATAATTTATAATAGTAATATTATGTAAACGATTGATAGATATTTCACTTAATTCGGTTGCCTACTGTCTAGCGCTAGTTGTAGTATGTAAGCTTCATTAAGTTACTGTGGCTCTTTAGTCTTTACAGTACCTAGTGCAACTGTTTCGCTCTACCTTTTTCCTACTATCATTTTTATTTTGTTATTTAAATGTGATTGCAAATTTTAATACATTGCTATTTATTTTAAACAAAAAAAAAAATGAGATCTTAATTATTCAAAATAGTTACTGAGTATAGTTTCAATTTAATGTCCAATACACTGTGAGTTACATACTTATTTCTAGTTTCAAGTAATTATTAATATTATTATTACATACCAAATAATTAATTTTTTTTAAATACAGTTAGTGAATTTGTGACAAATTATTTTTTTTAGTAATAATTTGGTATTGAGTATTTAACTGTTTTTACGTATCTACTAAATTGTATTTAATAGGTATTTTTTAGCCATATAAAATCATATAAAATAGAATTTAGAATATAACCAATAACTAAATAGGTAGCTAGGTTACCTATACCTAATTAATATACTTACACAATATTAATTAAAGTCTCATTGTTTATTAATCACGCACCTGCTCAATTAATCGATCAACAATTTATTATACACTTAAAATAATAGACTATAGTGCTTTTATATATTTGGTATTATTTTGATTAAATATATATTTAAATTTGATTTTAAATTATTGTATAGCTATAAAATTAAATCATTAAATTATTAAGAAAAACAATATATAATTGTAATAAACTTTATTTAATTTCTTATAAAACTATTATTTTTAAGTGTTATCCTTTACACCATGAGCTATTGTCATTAATTAAATATTTTATTTTGTTTAAGTGTTAAAATGACTGAAAAAGAGTTGAAAAAAATTCCATTTTTGAAACTATTAAATCTTGAGGCAATTACCACGCAGAATGATCCATCCATGGTAATTATAATTTATTTATTTTATCATTCTTTAAAGTAGATAGTTATGCTATAGAATAAGCTATAAGGCAGTTTACTAAAGATTAATGGATTATACCAAGTAAACTTATTTATGGATTCACTTACTTTTATAATATATACATATAATACAATTATTATGTCTACTACACATTGAATTCACTTATAATATGTAAATTTATTTTCTGTACTTTTGGGCTGCGGCCCGTATTAAAATAAAAAATAAAATAAAATAAAAATAAATAATATAATATATCATATATTTTAAATTAATGAAATTTGTGTGAATTGCTCATAACTAATTCATCAACAATTTATTTATAACCTAATTCTTCTTCTTCGGTTTTAAAAGGCCATTAAGGCCCATTACCGCAACACAAACTTGCTTCCATCTGTCTCTATCCTGTGCTATATTTTCTGCATCTCGTATTTCAATCTCAGCTAAGTTCTTATCCACTTTGTCAATCCTCCTTGGTTTCGGTCTGTCAAGTGGTCTTTTCCCCTGGGGTTTCCATTTTAAAATCGCTTTCATAAGACTATTTGACCTTCATGCATGACCGGTCCATGCCATTCTCCTATATTTGAATACTGCTTCTATGTCTGGCTCTTTATATAACTGTTGTATTTCTATATTACTTCTTTTTTCATATTGTTGTGTGATATTATTTATTTTTGGCTCAAATATTCTTCTTAATATTCTTCTTTCAAATATTGCTAATTTGTCTTTGTCTCCTTTAGTTGTTATTCATGTTTCACAATCATACAAAATAACTGGTCTGATAATTACTTTGTATATTGTAATTTTTGAATTGATTGAGACCTGTTTTGATTTGAGTATTTTCGTTACTCCGTAATAGCATTTATTTGCTGCAGTTGCTCTTATTTTAATTTCATCGTGATTATTTTTGCTATTTATTGTAATTTCCAGGTATTTAAAATTATGTATTCTTTCAGCTCTAATAATTCTCAACTTCTAAATTTTCCTCGTGATTTTCTCTCCTAGATTTTCTCTCCATTTATATGGTTTTTGTTTCGTTTATTAATTGTAATCCAATGTCTTTGCTATTTATTATTAGTTCTTTGGTGCCCGATTTTACTTCTTGACTATCTGATCCCAATATGATAATATCATCTGTAAGTATAAGTTTCTGGAAAATTTTTTTATTGTTTTCTGTGCTTGGGCTTGTAAGCAACAATGATCTCGTGTTATCCCTTTCTTCGATTACACTTTGACACTTGTCGTTAAACCATTTACGTTTTTGTACTTTTTTCTTTTTTCCTAGGTGTTCCAATGCAACTGCATTGGAATTTGTATTTGTTATTTGTATTATGCCCTCTATTTATATGCCTCAATCGACACTTTAATTTTTTTTTTTTTTTAATTTACAAAATTATAAATTTATAGAAATGTGCTTGGTAGTATTTAATTGTTTAATGATAATTATATAATTGAAATATATCATTTGATCTACCTTCATATATTTTTTAAAATAAAATTGTTTATATAACCTATTATGATGAAAATATACACTTTATTATATTATTAAATTATAATTTTCTATCTTTTTATGTATGAAGGGAATATTGTTTTGGATATTTTAATTTTTATTACTATGCACTTAAGTTCAATTAGTTAAAACAGTCCATTATTGTCATAACTAGGACACAAAATCGTATCTAAATACAACATTTTATTGAATGCAGGTTCTGTTTAATAATTACCACGTTCATAATACCTTAAAGTTCCCCACTCACTGCAGCAGTAGTGGTAAAAGTTAGCCCAGACACAATTAAAAATCCAGACACTAGCGGCACTATCATGACAATAGAATTTTACCACCACTTCTTCAGTGTGGTGACCTTAAATAGAATAAAACATAACTATTAATTTAAATATATTTTGAGTAAATTCAGTTTTTTTTAAAATATTTTAACAATAAGTACGTAATTCATATTTTTAGATTCTGAGCGGAGCGAAGAAACTCGTGGTTTTACAATGATGTTTATTTCTTTATTTTTTTTTATCCTGTATAACCCAATTTCTACTAGAAGGAGTGCTATCAACATATAGTATCTTATATTTTAACAAATTGGATCAAGATGGTACTTAAATAAGGTAATTTTTCGATTTTCTCAATAAGTATTAAATGCCACGGGGAAAACCACTGTCAATATTATAATATTAATTTAACTTACAGCCTATAATAAATAATAACAATTTAAAATATCCAGACTGACAAACTGTCTCCACTCAGAATCGTTTTTCATATACAATGATATTATACTATCATTGAATTCAAATTTAATACTATCATAAAATACAATACATTGTACATTGACCCACTTGTAACCTACTGTACAGCATAGCAACATCCACTTACCAGCTTTTTTATTAACCTATTTACAGACATATTGACAATAATATTATTATTCTGTGTGAAATATTTTCATAATAGGATATCCCCATAATTGTTATATAATCTATTACTGTACTACTCTAGTGACTAGTTGTTCTTTGTAAATTTTTTATTTAGTACTTCTAATTTTTATAAGATTAAAATTTTAAAAGTTAATGTTGAAATAAAAACTTTTGTAATATATTTCATGTTTTTAATACACATTTTGGCAAAATGAACATATTTATTTACACATTTTGACTTTCTTTATTACTTAGTAATAACGAACAGCCATTAATTTTCATAATAGAATTAATATATTGATTTATTTGTATTTATTTATTATCATGATTTATCTATTGTTAAACTATTCATTCTTGTTGATATTTTTTGGATTAATATGGTTTATACATTTGCTTGTAGATTAATTGTTATATTATAATTTATAATAATAGGTAACTAATATATTTTTAAAAAGTGTGTAAGTGCAGTGGGTGGAGTAGGTCAGCAGTGGTGGAAGTTTGTCCATTGGACAGGAAAGTTTTTTATTACAGTTTTCAAATTGACTGCAATGATTGTATTCGATAAAAAAAGCGATTCAGAGCGGACAAAAAATGTATGAATCATAAATATGTCTTAATAAGTAACCATTAATTGTATAAAATATACACAGTAGGAATTATTTAATTTTTTAATTTTATTCGTTTCTATGTTGATAATCTAAGTGTTAGAAAAATAAATGTTGGTGGTTATTCCCTTGGTGTTAAAAACATTTTGAGAAAATAAAAAAAAACCTCTTTAAAGTACCATTTTATTCCAATTTGCTAAAAGCTAAGATACTATAATATCTTGAAATTGAAGCACTCCTTCTGGTAGAAATGTTGTATACAAGATAAAAAAAAATAACACCATTGTAAAACTAATAGCTTCCTCGATCTGCTCAGAATCTAAAATACCTACAAATAGTTATACAGTTTTTCTTATTGGTTATAAGATATTTAATATACAAAGTAATATTTTTAAATCGAGGCACTTATTTTCCATTAACTTTTTCTTGGTTATTAGGTATTTATTTATAGTATTTTATAATCAATTTTTTTTAACTTTTTACTTTTTAAGTTTGAACTATAATTTTTTTATTTCATATTCTGAAGCTGCAATTTTTCATAGTTTAGATTCATATATGAACCATGAATAGGTGTATAATTATTTATTATCATTTAAAATGTTGGTACAAATTAATGAAATGGAGTACCTAACTATCAGGGTTCATCTTAGACATTTTTGCTCTCTTTACTCTTCTTTTTCATAGGATCTATCGGCTATTAAGTTACACCCACAATTGTTGTCTCCGTCTTACAAGTGTGTAACATAGCAAATGTTGCGTTTAGCAGATCACGTTTAACTCTATTAGCTTAAGTGAATTTACCTATTATAAAATTTAAGGGTAAGATTGTTATCTAACGATTCTCATAGGCTTTTTGTTATATTTTAATTTTAAAGCTATTTCTGAATATTTTAAAATTGTAAATTATTTGTATATCTTAAAATACTCATAATTCGCTTTAAAATTGAAATATAACAACAAGCGTATAAAATGCCCTTGATAATAATCTTATCTTTAAATTTTATAAGAGGTAAATTCACCCTAATTTTTAAATTAACATAGTTAAATGTGTTCTGCTGAGCTCAAAATTTGCTGTGTTATGCATGTGCAAGATTGAGACAACAAATGCTAGTGTAACGTCCTGTTAAGATCCTCCTTCCTGTCATAAAATTTTCCCTGTCAGCTGTTCATGTTTTCCAGTCTGGTGTTCAATTCTGTAATTCTACATATTTTTAAATTATATCTTCCCATCTCAAACGTTGCTCTTCCAATTGTGTAAAAGTTGATTCTGGCTTAACCACGCATGTCCGAACCACTGTATTCTTTGGTTCTTGATTGTGTTTAATACTCCAATATGATTTGCATCACTGACCCTATTTCTTCGTTTTTTACTGGTCCAAAAATCTTCCTATTGATTTTTATTTTAAAAATCATCAGTTTTTGTACTGTGTGAAAACACAATTAGGGGCCATGTCTACTACTTAGGGACACTACCTATAAGTGATTACCTGGCGTATTAGTGTAATATATAATTATTTCTCCATTTCTCTCACCAGATATCTTATCCCTAGTATCTTTATTAGTTCATAGAAGCATTTTTTTCCTGATAGAATTCTTATTTGATGCCATGTTTTTGTCAATCTAATTTTTTTCTATCAATATTGAAACTTACTATTTAAACTATTTGGCCCTGCTAAACTTATTAATATCAACATTTAAGAGGATGCTACACAGACATTTGTTGTCTCCGTCTTACAAGTGCATAACAGTAAATTTACACTCGGCAGCTTAACTTAAGTTAAAAAATTAGAGTGAATCAACTTGTTATGAAACTTGATGGTAAGAAAATTATCTATGTTTGTATGTAGGTTTTTTTTTCAATAAATCAGTTTTTAAGTGAGTTAAGAGCATTTTTTATATACACTAAATTATATACGTATAATTTACTAAAAAATTGAACTAATGTAAAAAACCCACATACAAACACAGTTAATGTATTTACCATCAAGTTTCATAATAGTTCCACTCTAATTTTTAAACTAACGGAGCTAATCGTGTTCTCCTGATCATAAATATGCCATGTTACGCATTTGTAAGACTAAGACAACAAATGGCTGTGTAGCGTCGTTCTCTTAAGGATGAAAATTTTTCCGTACTGCCTCGTCACCCCATGACCATTTATTTAGTTTGGTCCTCATTTATGTGTAGTCCTAACCATTAAACTTTATAATTAATATGTTTTGGTTCAAAATGTAGGTATAGAATTTTCAAAATATAAAATTGATTGATTGCTGTAAAACACAATTGGCTGAGTTAAATGTCTTAATATATAATGTACATTATACATTTTTTAATCCCCATATAATATAATTATAATTATTTATTTTATAAGTCATATACAATTCTGTAAGCTTACATTATATGTATTATACATAGGTATTATTGTATTAAGTATTATAGTTATTTAATTAATGTACCTACCTATATGTATTATTATTTTTTCAGATTTTCAGAAATCATTTATTAGTTAAACCATGCCATAATGCAGATCTTGCGAACAAAAATAATAGTATAAAAACTGGATATGAAAATTTTTGTGTTCAAAAAGGTACTTTAAAGTTGTTTCCATTTAAAGATTTTGATTTTATTGGTAAACATGTCGTTTGTCAAAAATGTTATCAAAAGTTTGCTTCACTATTTTCTTATAAAGCACATGTTGGTACTGATATTTGTGTTAGAACCTACAATGGGCCGAATCTTATCTATCTTAAGTACAAGAACAGAAATTCTAGACAAGTTCGGAAAAAAAATAAAAGAAAGCCTAAAAAAGAATTTGACGAGCATGAAATAAAAATAAATGTATCAAATCCTGAAATTTTAAACACTTTACAGACTCGTAAAAAAGTTTATTCTGATAATATAATCCAAAAGCAAAATAAAGTTAAAGAAAAAGCAAAAAATAATTCATATGAATATAATGATGAGCCCTCTATGAAAAAACCTAGAGGAAGACCTAAAAAAGACATTATTAGTAATAATGTTGAGGTTAAACTAAAAAAACGAGGCAGACCAAAGAAGTTAAATGCTGTGATATTTAATAGCACAAATCAAAATGACAACAGCTCAAGTAGCAAAAATGAAATTACAGAGTCTTTCAGTATGAAATATTTATTAGAGAAGTTTTGGAAAATTTTTTCAACAGAGTTAAAACCGAAACTTGTAGATATTAATAAACATCAATATCCCACCAAACATAAAAATCAGTATAACGAAGAAAAAAAAGCCGAAGAAAATGAAATTTTTCTTAAAATTGAAGAATTAGAGAATGAGTTTGAGTTTCTTTTTAAACAGTTTAAGGGTAAGAAAGAATATCCGTTTAATGATGAAATAGAATTAATACTGACAAAAATTAGTGAAAAGCGTGATGAAATTAAACAGAGTTTACTGAAGAAGACTGATATGAAGGTATCAATACCAGATGAAGGCAAAGAAAATATTAAACATACACTCAAAAAGAATAAAACTGAAACTGAGATTGAAATTAATAATAAAGATTTTGATAAAAACAATAAATGTATAGGAATATTTATAAAAAATATTATGAAAATTAATGATGGTTGTAAATCAACTAATCACATAAATGAAGATAATTTTAAAAAAGAACCCACAAGTCAGGATAATTTTGAAGATAATTTAAATACATTAAGAGTTGATAAAACTCCAAATATCACTAATTCAGTTAAAAATCATTTAAATGATCATGGTTTTAATTATATTCTGAATTCAACATTAAACTGTGAAAAATGTAGAAACAAATTTACTTCTAGTGCTGAATGGAAATTGCATCGTTCTGAACATTTGGTTAAAATAAATGCATCAGTTTTATGTTCGGTTTGTGGACTTAGATTTAAAATGTATAAAAATTTCAGAAAACATGTTAATATTCATATAAAAACAGAAAACAAAAAATTATCTGTTAACAAAAGTTTTAAAAACTTGGCATGTAAAATATGTAATAAACAGTATGATTACCTTAGATCATATTATGCTCACATTAAAACCCATGTTAATAAATAATCTTTTTTTTAATTACCTGTTACGTACATTTTTTATTGTACAGTACTTTTTCTAAAACCACCATAGATTGTTCACCATGTTTAAATTTAACTATTTTTGTATTTTATGCCTTTATGGTTCAATTAAAAATATATTCTTATATTAAAATTATTATTTGTCATGAATCTTTTTATTTAATATTTTTATAATATTGAATTTTATTATGTATATTTTAATTATAAATTATGTATATTTTAGTTAATCAATTTTGTTTATAAAGTTAATAAAAATCAAAATAATGATAAAATGTATAAATTGTTAGTAATTAAATATTTAATACTTAAAGTATGAGATATTAAAATCATTGGTATACTAATATCAAATATTCTTAAATCGTAAACCAGTGTTTGTGTGTTGCATAATATATAGTTTACTGATTACAAAATGTTTCAAGGAACAGTTTCCTGTAGTATCTAGCATCAACTACCAAGCTGAGAGATGGTCGAGTAATTGAAGCCATTATATGTCCTCTGCATCTGGACATTGGAGGGAATCTGTATCTTTATATTCTAGATATTGAGTGTACCAAAAATGCCTCGGTTCACAATAACGTATGAATATTTATTTTTTTAATTAATTAATTTTTTAAAAATATACCTATATCAGCTATTCCTTTATACTATATAGGCACACTATTCCTATAATCCTACATGATAAAGTAATATTATAGTATATACATTGTTTACAAGTTACACAGGTAAAAATGTGTAATGATAAATAAGTTCATAATACCTATTAGAGGTTTGGGTACCTATATATTATATTATAATCTGTACACTGTTGTCTATAGTTTTGTATATTAATTTGCATTTGCCTTTAATATACACAACTGTAATTATTATTATATTATAAATCAAAAATAGTCCTTTCATGAAAATATGATCTTATTCAATTTGACTTACAATTTATTAATAACAATATAATAATTTGTATTCTGTATACATGAAAGTGAGTATATCTATTTAAATATTTTCCAAAATCGGCATATTCTGCTTCTTCATTAATAAACCGGGAATCCCGACCACTGGAGAAACCGGAGATTTTATTGAATTTAAGGGAAGGGGGCTAAAGTCTTTCTTTACAAAATATGAATTGGGGCTTTAAAAAATGTTAAATAATTTTGGGGGCTTTCAATATGTATGGGGAGGTATGAGCCCCCCCAATAACTGGCTATGCTTGTAACAGTAATAAAAAAAATACAAAACATATAAAAATATTTTACAAGTCGGATGATATAAATATTAGAATATTAAAACGACTTTCGTCTAGAACCTGTCCATATTATATTATATATTAAGAATACCATCTACATTTAAATTTAATATTATATAATTAAATAGTCTTGTCAAAAATTAATTTATTAAAAAGAGATGTCCTAGAACCATAGAACCAAAGTATCTACATTTAAAACATTTTAAGGTAAAATTCAATATTATATAATTCAATAATTTAGTTAATAATTACTTTTTAACAAACTTTTTAACAATGGTATTATGTCTTCATTTGAATAAATGTTCACTAATTTTTGTATTTCCAATAATATGGTTTATTGAGTGGTTTGAGAGTAAAAACACCTACTATCATTATTGTAGAAAAGAAGATAATCTATGCCTGTATACAAGGACATTTTTAGATATTTTAATTACTAAACTCATTAATTAAAATTAAAATACTGAAATATCACAAGATTTAGAGCTAACAATTGAAAATAAAATATGGAATATTGACTTATACATAACATACCTACTCCGATTATCATGAATTATTTTTTTTTACTATTTATTATATTTGAATGTATGTCAAATGATTTATAAAATATTTTGTATAGGAATCAGAACAAACAATTTATGTGAATGTATAGAGGCAATTTGACTTATTAGCGTTTTTGTAGGTAGGTTTGTAGTATTACCTGTGGTTAACATTAACGATTTGATATTAATAGGTAACTTTTTTTTTTGAATATCAATTAATAAGTACCTATTAAAATTTTTCTTTTTTTCCTTGGTCATTTTTACCGATTACCGTTTCAATCGGGCACCTCTGTTGCCTCACAAATTTGCTTATTATAAATGTATAAAATTAAACGCCTCGGCTGACAATGAAAATATTATTAGATTAATCTGATATGGATATACTGATATCAGTCACTCCAGTATTTTAATTGTAGTAATAACATTCAAGTACCGAAAACCCCTGGTTTTTCGTCATCATTTTTTTTCAGCCTCTTCAATCTATCTGGCAACGACAGTAACCCTGCACGGCTGCACGGCATTGAGAGAAGATCTCTGCACGTCTGCACTCTGCACTAGAGCACTCCCTTATCAAACTTAATATTGCTACTTGCTAGCGGAACCATAGATAATAATGAATTATGTAATATAATTTATTAGCGGAACATATGTGTTAAGAATTAAGAAGTATGATCAACTCGAACCGTGTTTTCATCCTAGTTCGCGCATGTGAATCGCCTTATGTTTTTGTGCATACCTACTGCATTGCATAAGATTAAATGTATACTCGTGACGTCGCCTTGTGTTTATTGTTGTTTACCTATATAAATTATACATTGCCCCCTCACACAAATATACGCAGTCTTATCATTGAGCATACTTCTTATTCCTTATACTATGATACGTGTTAGCAAGCAATAGGTTGATTCTATAACAATTAGTACAATTTAATTTAATTGTAAATGGTATACGTAGTAGGTACTAAATATTTACAGGTCGTGGGGACATCAGAAACGAACTTGCTATGAACAAAGAAAACGATCCCGACTCAGAGCCTGGAGAACTATTGACTCCGGTCTATGATTACAAATCTCAACATTTCGCCGCAGCTGAGGTTATCGTAAGCAAACATAGTACCTAATCATTGATTCATAAAAGTAATTACTACCTACCTACAATGGCGTGTTGCTCAAATTTGTCATAAGAACAATGTATATTTACTGCCTACAGGCAGTGGTGCCGAAGTCCAAAATTTCACCTATGACATTAGACACCTCCTCATAAAGTTTTGGCTTCCACCTGTTTCTTATAATTACCTTAACCCACACCAAGTATAGTTATTATGTTGTCTATTAAACACATTTTCACAAAATAACTATAAAATGACTAAGATCCCCTACATACTAAAATAACGTATGTCATAGGTAAGTATATATTTTGGCGCCACTGCCTACAGGCAACATCTAGAACATTCAAACCTTCATACAAACCATTGTAAGTTCTGATGTGTTTCAATTACTATCATGTATATCAGTAATAATTGGAGCCCGGATTTGTAGGTTTTTGCATATTTTTTTCCTTTTAACTTTTTTATATTTTTGTTCATAATCTCCACGAATCATAGTACCTAATTGGAATTCACTGCTAAATTTTTATTTTGCATATTTTTGCATATTTGACCATAAATGTATATTTGTCTATAAATGCATATTTGTTGCATATTTCAATGAATGGCGCTGTATAGGTCGGTATAGGACTCGGAATTAACGACACAGATTTAGCTATCTCAATTTAAAATACGTATTATAATATGTAGCATATTATATATGCATTAGAAATAGTTGAGGTAATCCCATCGTACTAAAAGAAATAGATAGTTCATCTGTTGTAATCTAATATCGTTATATCGCCGTTATCGATATAATTCATTTAATTTTATAATATTACCTACAGGCTATTTAATAAACATTTAGTAAACTGTTCTCGAGTTACAACCGTGCTGGCAATTTGCATCGACATTGTTTAGTTACCGTTAAATGGATAGTCGCTGCTTTATATTACGAGGAACATTTTATAAAATACCAAAAGGTAATTTAAAAGCTCGCAGAAGACGATGTACAATGCGTCAAAAAAGTACTTAAAAAATATATTAAAGATAGATCTATTTTGAATGAATTAACATTTATATCAACTCATTTATCATTTTTAGTTGAAATAATTAAAAAACTAGAAACACAAAATATGCTTTTATCTGAAAGTTTTTATTTAATAAGTGAATTAGAAGAAAAAATAAACATTCTTCCTAGACTTAAAGGGACAACATTAAAAACAAAATTAAATGATATTTTCTCCAAAAACAAGGGCCTAAAAATATTGCGTAAAATTAACAAAGTATTATTAGGGGAAACGGAAGCAGTTCAACTAGATGAAAACTATCAAGACCCAAATATTTTAAGCTCTTTCAAATTTGCCCCGATAACGTCAGTGGATTGTGAACGATCATTTTCTATATATAAACATTTACTATCAGATAGACGGCATAATTTCACCGAGGATAAACTTGAGCACCATTTAATTATTCATTTTAACAATAAAGAATAAAAATTAAAAACACATTATATTATATTATATTTATTCAATTATTATATTACATTTTATTATATCTTATTATTTTATATTATTATATTTCATTATTTTATATTTTTTTCATATACTTAATATAACTTTGAATTTTGTAAATGCATATTTGTTGCATATATTAATGATTTTTATTGCATATTTTAACAATTTTTACTGCATATTATATGGCATATTTTGATACTTTTTATTGCATATAAATCCGGGCTCTAGTAATAATAAATCTGAACGAAAATTACAGATACCTAAGTAAAAAGTATACAATTTTATTTGTCTCACAAAGTTACAGTCAGCTTTTGTAAGCTATGAATAGGTAGTAATATACCCAGGGGTCAAAGTGGGAAAAAATTCCAGAGGGGACTAATGTCTCCATATAGTTTTAAGCATTCCATATATAATTTTATGTACAATGTCTAATGTATAAAATCCTAATTTGATAAAGGGGACGCTTTTAGGTAGGGGGACTGAGTCCTCCTGCGTCCCCCCACTTTAACCCCTGTGTATACCTATGAAATAACTATTATGTGGAATTATTTTATAGAACAGTATTATTATTTCTAGGTAGTTGTATCAATTAAGAAGGAAAAACATTGAATAAACAAAGTTACTACTTCCTGTATAGGTTACTATTATCACACTTACACCTTCATACAAACCATACAAGTTCTGATGTGTTGCAATTGCTATAATGTAATGGGACGTAATGATAAATCTGAAATAATATAAAAAACATTATAATTCTTTACCCAACCAAGGTACTGTGAGATATGAATTGTTTGCTGGAAATTCAATAATTGTTGATCAGGCAGTGTAGCAGCAGACTTCATGTTAGAATTAATTATTGTAGTGTGACTAATGTTTCACTTTATCATTATAAAAGTTATGAAATCAACACTATCGTTTAGTCTATACCTTAAAACCATAGGAGGAAATATACATTTTTATCAGACTAGGCCCTGCTTTCCTTGATAAATTCTCATGGTCATAAAATGGTTTGGAGGAGCGGGTAAAAAATTGTTAACATTTAAAAAATGCTTGCCAAGTCAGGAATAGGCATGTAAACTTTCTTGATTTTTAATTTTTAGAAATTTATTAACTGATATCACACCCAGGTGGTATAACAATGTGAATCCAGAAAAATGTCGGTGTGAACAGTCCCACAAAAAATCATTTTCATTTTCATTTAGTGAGATAGATTTCCGAAACTAGAGAGCGGAGTTTGTTGTTTGGGGTTTTGTTAGGTTCACATTGGTTTGGAGAAGTGCAGTGAAGATTTTCAGAACTTAATCTTTAATAGTTAATTCACTACAGAACATAAACAACATTAAAACAAATTTTATTGGGCGTTTTTTGATGTTTTTCAGCTTTACAGCTTTGTAGTGAATTAACGATTGAAGATAAGGTTTTGAAATCATTCACTGCACTTCTCCTAGCCAATGTGAATCTAACAAGACCCCAAGCAACAAAATCAGTTCTCCAGTTTCGGAAATCTACCTCGCTAAATGAAATTCTAGCAAAAATAACTTTTTTTTATCTGTAAAAGCTGAATAATTTAAAAAAAAAATTTTAATTCCACATTTTGTATCTAATTGATAATCCCTTTTTAATGAGTTTTCAACCAACTTTCTAGCTATCATAATTTATAAGAAAAGTTAATAAATAGAAATGTTGGGACTGTTTTTATGGCCTCTTATACCACCGAGATGTGATATCAAATCTCTTTCATTAATACTTTATATTAAAGCTAACTAAATTACCCATCTACTCATCATTACAGAAATACATTTTTATTATTTTCCTATTTAACACAAATTCTTGAAGTTTTCAAAATTCACACTTTTTTCATTTCAATTAGTATACTTACTTGATTAAAAATCAAGAAAGTAATACTTGATTAAATATAAATAAAGTAAAAAAAAAACTATTTTATGTGTTATAGAATTGTTATGCACCTTGCATATTTATTTTGTATAAAGCATGATTAAAAAAAAAAAAAGTTATAATTATTAATATTTAGAATCTATTCAATATTAAATGCAATCTAAATACTTTGACATATTAACAAATCTAGGGTTTTATTGAACATATTCGTGCACCATGTTGATATAGTTAAAATATTATGGGTCGTGGGAACATAAGAAGTGATTTTGAAATGAACAAAGATAACAATCCCTACTCAGAGCCTGGAGAACTAATGATTGCGGTTTATGATATTGCGACAAGGATGATCTCCTAAAAAAAAAATTAAGGAAAGCTGGGATTTTGTGTAAAAACAGTTTACAACCAAATTAATTGATTTAGTTTTTTTGGTGTAACTAAGAAACTAATGACCGTAGATACTTCAAATCTTCTCCGGTTTTTTATAAAATTTTTTATATGCACAATATAATATATACACAATAAATATTTTGAGTCGTTTTGAGCTATTTATAATAATAAAAAAATTTCAATTTTTCGCTCGTCAAATAACTTGAAAATCTAATACAATGTACTTCATAAGTTATTTGTTAGTGGATATTATAGTAAATTATATTAGTTCAATAACATTATTATATTAAAATATACTTAGTAATATAGGCTGACTGACCACTTTTGCTCAGAATAAATGAAATTGTAGAATGTACCATAAAAAAAGAAAACAAATTATCAAAAATGAAAAAAATGCAAATTGCGTTGTGCACAGTTTTAAAACTGACTTCAGTACCTAATGCATAATTAAAATTTTGTTGGCACTATAAAATTAAGTTTCACAATAAGCATTAAAGAATTAATTTCCTTTATTAGCAATCAAATCTATACATTTTAGAACATAAAATAAAATAGTCATGGAAATGAAATTTCAAAATTAGAAAAACAGGTTTCAAATAAATCCAATTACGTTTTAAATTTTTAAAATATTGGTTAAGGTTTGAAGTCAATATGAAATTACAAGGGGAGTGACTAACACTGTGCAACTAAAATACTGTTTTGTAACGCTGTTTGTACGTAAGTGTGTGATTCAACTCAAAAAGTACCAAAGTTATACCAAGTTTGGCGTTTTTACTTAATTCCACATACCTATAAATCCTAACCTGACCTAACCGTACTAAAATCCGATGAATAAAAAAAACCAAATTTAACCCTTTTTAAATTAGCGTATCTTCTTCCCATAGGTCTAATCTACACACCATCATTCATTTATATATAAGATATATTGACAAAAAATAATAATACAAATCAACAAACATGCCAGATTAACCAATAGCAACCAATATAATATAATACACCATAGAGTAAATAAAGACAACGGTATCGAGTTCAAATCCCAGACATCACTTAATAGTTTTTGCAGTTTTTCTAATTATTCGGTTGACTTTTTAAAAATTTTCTTTCGTAAAAACCTTCTCCTGGCAATTACGAACATCTTAAAAAAAATTTGAGCAAAATCGGCCCAGCCGTTCTCAACTGATGCAATTTCGAATTTTTTGTCTCCATTTTTATATATATAGTTAGATTACATACAAAACCAGTAACATTTTTATTAACTACATTGTAATTTTATTTTAGTGGACATTTACTGGGTCAGATTTGAAAGACGAAAGTGCCGCTATACGGTAGGGGTCCCTGAAAACGCTTCATTTTTAAGGAACAATTATTTTGTTCGTTTTCGGCACAGCTGGTCTTTTTATGAGAAATAAATAATTACAATTAGTGTGTGGCGTGTATAGTGTTGACTGTGTAGTGCTGTAGTCTATTCTCTAACGATAACCTGCATCTGATACAAAATACGCACACACGTGTACACAGTACATTACATCAGTAGTGCAGCATTAAATTAATATTAGAAACTAATTTATGAAAGTAAAATAGCTAATAAAAAATACAGGTAATTCCAGTGGTTTGATTTTAAAAATTGAAATACGTCTGAGTTCATAAAAAAGTTCACTTTGCATCTGTCGGGCCGGTTTTTCAATAATGACAAATTGTGTAGGGAGGTACCATAATCAACGTCTGACATTTTATAAATTTGTTCGTTGGACATCCTGCTGCGTGAACTCTTGGTGTCCAACGCCTTGGTTGCGACAGGGGTTGGCAACAATGTAAGCGAGTATGCAAAGTTGTGCTTGCACAAGCTTAGGGGACGCACCAGTTGACCCCATTCTACATCCGCTACAGCCATTACCACCGAAACTACCAGCGCCGCCACTCGGAAAATGCGTACTACCATGAAATATATAAATACGTAATACAATATTCGGCCCGCTCTCATCTCTCACCCACATCTGTCTCGCCGGGCCGTCCGCAGTAATCGAACAGTATTCAACGGATGTGTTCGCGTCTCCACCGCCACAGTGAGGTAAGTGTCCATTATAAAAATATATAACATTGGCATAATGTTTACTATTAGAATATTTCATTGTATATTAATATACCAACTTGGTGAGCTTTACATGATGTACGTATTGCTATACATTATATTATTATTACCTATACTTTATACTCCAATAAATGATGTAACATTGCGGCAAGTCTTACGAAAGTGATGCATCCGTTTGGTTGCGCAAAAAATTCGTAGGTACCTACCGACATTTGAAAAGACATTTTGAATTTTCATATTTTATATGCGAATAATACAACATCGGCTAATCGACAATCTTTTGGTTTGGAAAAGTATTTATCGTTTTTAAAGTTTACATTCCCATCTATCCTTATTTTGCCTTTAAGCTGAGTTTCATGACTCGTGTAGGTAGGTACCTAGTTACCTACATGCAAAATAAACTTGCTATTAATTTAAGTATTGACCCTTAATTGGTATTCTAGTGGGAACAGAGTACCTATTTGTACGAATATGTGGTGTTTTCTATTTGTTATTCATTTCACCACCTCTTGGCCACCGTTCGGTTGAGGTCGGTTCACAAATACAGCTGCCGTCAAGAGGAATGGATGCGATCAAGCACATAAACAAAAAAAAATTTGAAAGCCCCCCCTGTATACGGCCCTGGATGCAATCGTACTAGTTCCGTGACTCATATAAGTTATGTCGTTATGGGTCATAAAAATGGGGAAGCAATTGTGAAAGTAGAAAAACAAATAGGTACACACTAAATTAAAATATATAAATTATAATTAAATAGTTTTATGGCCGTATGCCTACAGTATTGAATGAAATATAGTTTAGTTTTAATGATAAAATATAATTATAAAAAAAAATAATAAAAAAAATAAAATATAATTAGTTATATAAGTAAGTTCAAAGAATGATTGCACTCAAATATTCCGTCTCAAATTAATACAATTATTGTAAGTGCTAAATAATAAGTTATTGTGACAACCAGCTTAAAGGAACTCAGGCTTAGATATTCACACTATACATTTTTAATCAAAATCACCCCATCGACTGACTAAAAATAAGGTATTTAGGTACCTACTTCTAGTAGTTCGATTTAAAAATGTAAAGATTTTTGATTTTATAAAGCAGTTTAATTTGCATCGGATGGAGTATAATATTATATTCTATATTTTTTATAGTTTTTAATAAGTTTAATATAAAACATTGAGAAATTGATAAAATTTAAAATGTTTATTCCTGTCAAGAATTTGAGAAAATTGAAAAAGTGCTCGGACTGATGCAAAGTAATCATGGTTATGCATTCAAACATTTTTATAATTTTTAAATCAGACCTTTGGAAGTACTCCAACTATTGTTATATATAGCTTTATAGCTTTTGGTGTATAGCTATTTCACGTCCCTAAATTGATTTTGAATATTTTGATCCAATGATTAAATTACATGTGCATGCAGGTGCGTAATATGTGATTAGTATGTATACACACTCTGACACACTATTGATCGTTATTACTATACACACAAAGACGAGCAATGACCGAAACGACCGAAAGAATTGCCTAAACACAACTCCTTAAATGTTACATGTTTGCAGGGGCCTTAAATCTCTATCTCTATATCTTTTATGGATTTGAATAAAATTATAAATAATAAAGTTACAATATTGTGTACTATGTCACATGAGTCTGGCCCGATATAGTATATAACATAATAATTAATAATATAAGATGCATATTACTATTAAATTTGGTAATATGGTATTGTAAAATATATACTTATTTTAAATTCTGAGCGGAGCGAGGAAGCTAGTATGGTTTTATAATGTTGTTTTTTTTTATCCTGTATGTACAAAATATCTACCAGAAGGAATGCTTTGGTTTCAACATATAGTAGGTATCTTATATTTTGGCAAATTGGATCAAGATGGTAATTCAGACAGGTAATTTTTCGCTTTTCTCAATAGTTATTTAATGCTAAATAATACTAAAACGGGAAGAACCACAGACAAATTACGAAAAAACGCTAAAAACGGGATTTTAATTTCTATAGATTTGTTTATTACCTTAGATACAAATAAAAAATTGGGGCGAATTGAAAATTATTAATTCAACTTACAGGTAATAATAAATAATAACGATATACAGTAACACACTGCACAGCAGAGCAACATCCACTTACCTGCTTTTTTAAAAAATATGTTTAAGATGCGACCTCGTACCCACGAGAGAAATTTCAAATTTAGTTTAATCCATTTTACTCTTTTATTTTTTAAATAATAGTCAATTTTCAACTCAATTATCAAATTTGATGGACTGTCCCCTTCAAACCCTAAACACGCCATTTTAGCTGAGCACAATACAAAAATATATACTTATAGTAGTATATTTTTTTATTTTGAAGTAAAACTTCTTTCTTGAGGTGTGGAAAAAAAATTGAAAAAAAGGTGCTCTGCTGTACAGTAGGTTACAAGTGGGTCACTGTATAATGGATAGTATTAAATTTGAATTCAATGATATAATATCATTGTATAAGAAAAACGATTCTGAGCGGAGCCGGTATGTCAGTCTAGGTATAAGACATATTATAATTTATTACTATCGTATCTATCTATCGTATTAAAAAAAATGTATCTAAAATAGGTACCTACTTATAATGAATTCCAAATTAATCATATCACAATATCAATTAGTTACTTATAATGCGTTATACGTCAACAACAAACCCTGATACTATCATAGTCCATACTCCATAGATATATAATAGTGTACTCTAGAAGTTTCAAGTACCCACGAATAATACACAATCACAACAAAATAACTAAAATAGTTTCTAAAATAGTTTCTTCTAGGTTTTTTTTATGTAATTTTGTCCAAAGTTGAACTTAAAATGACTATAAAAATAAACTGAATTTTTCAGATTTTTTGGTAACAGAATTAACTATTTCCGTGGAATCTTGTTTTAAATTTTCAATCCTTAGATATAAAAGCTGAATTTTATACATTTTTAACTACAAAATAATTATTCAATTTTAAATTTGATAAATTTTGTCAAAATTCGATCTTTAAATGCTTATAAAAAAAAATTGTGCCTATGTATTTTTAATATTTTTCAACTGATATTGTAACAATATATCAGGAGCCTTGTATTACATTTTTACACTTTTTGGCAAAACAGATAAAACTTTATTGATATTTAAAGAATAAAAAACTAAAAAAATTGGAAACAGAAAATGTCCTTAAACAGCTGAAAAAGAGTCAAAATATTTTCAAAATTGTCTGGTGTATAGGAAATGCTAATATAAATATTCAGTGAAATTTTCGTGAATCTACAGTTATTCGTTTTTGAATTACAACAAAATAAGGAAATCGCTACAAGATAAATCGAGTGAATTTCCAATGTTGTAAAAATTTGAATTTCAAACGCTCATAAAAATTTAATTTTACCTTCTTATAGACAAGGCTGGGCATTAACGAGTTAAAAGTTAAAATTAAGTTAAAACGTTAAGTTAATTTTAATTAAGTTAATTAACTCGTTACTTTTTTTACAAATTAACTTTTAACTTAATAAGTTACTTTTTTTTTAAGATTAACGTGTTAACTTTAAGTTAATTTTATTTAAAATTATCTAAATTAAGTTAATTTTAGTGCAAAGAAAAATGCAAATTATTAATGAGGTTTTTAGTATATTTTATGATTTACTATTTTAATATGAATTTCCTGTAGACGAAAATAATATGAAAAATAACTTTAATAGTCATTATATGGGCTATATAATATCTACCTACACGTTTATCATTATAAATTGTATTAATAATATTTTCAAAGATAGGTTATACAGATTATCGTTTAAATGGGTTCCCTGAAGTGGATGTCGAATGTTGTCGTGAACGTTTTTCCATTATTAAATAAATGCAATTATAATCGGCTAGTCCGAATTTGGTTCAACAATAATTTATTACCGGCATTATAACAAGTCACAACACATATAAAATGCGGAATTTAATAAATAATTGTTGTGACATGTTATTGGTGAAGCCTATAATAAAGACAACTAATAAGTAAGTTATTAATAAGTTTACTGATAATAATTGTTCATGTTGTGCTGAGCTTAGGTTTTAAAATGTTTAACATTTAAACATTAAAATGTGGCTGCATTTTGTCCTCAGTATAGAAAATATATTTGGGTGGTAGGTACTGCCTGTTTGATTTTTAAAATTTATGTGAATCAATTAAAAATATTGGTATCTTGGCAGTTGGGAGAAAACTATTAAGGTGTTTTTTTTTTTTTTTTTTGATGTACCACTTGGGTAAATTGATTTGAGTATGAGTTCAGGACTAAGATTTATTTTGGAAAAGTAGGTTTTTTGATAGCTAGTTAATACTTTTATGTCTCATTTAAAAAATTTCCCTAGTATTTTTCTTGAGTGTAAAAAAACTAATATTATGTGTGCAATTTATTATTTTTGCAAAATAGAAAATTTTAACTTTAAACTAAGTTAAGTTACTTTTTTTTCAAAGTTAACTTTTAACTTAACGAGTTAACGTAAAAAATATGATTAACTTTTAATTTAACTTAACTTTATTATTTTAAAATAACTTAACTTAACGAGTTAAAAAAAATCGTTAACTTGCCCAGCCTTGCTTATAGACATTTTTTTTTTTGATAAAGGTAGATAATCTTATAAGGAATCTTGTATTACATTTTAAAACCTTAGATTTAAAAAGAAAATTTTTTACGAATTCTTAACTCAAAATAATTTGCTAATTTTTGTGATTTTTCCATATTTTGTCAATTTTTGAACTTTAAATGCTTATAAAAAAAACTTTGACTAAGGATTTTTAATATTTTTCAAATGCCATTGTAGCAATATAGTAGGACCCTTCTATTAAATTTTCAAGCTTTTTTAACCAACAAATAAAATTGTATTGATATTTTTAGAAAAAAAACTAAAAAAAATGGAAAATGAAAATGTTTCTAAACAGTTCAAAATAAATCAAAAAATTTTGAAAATGTTATCGTGTATAGAAAATGCTTATATAAGCATTCAGTCAAAATGTCATGTACCTACGG